GACTGGGGGAACCGCCCGGGGCGCTTTGCACTGCCCGGCCCCTTTAAGCTAAGAGAGTAAGAACCCTTCTAGGCAGAGCCTAGGTAGGGAACAATAACAATAATGCTAAGAACAACAATAATACTAATAATGCGAATACTAACAGCACTACTAGTAGTAATAATAGTAATGATGATCATACGAATAGCAATGATAATACTATTATTAATCATAATGGTAATACTAATAACAATAATGATAACAGTAATTATAACGATGATAATAATAGTAATATTACTTGTACTCATACTACTACTACTACTACTACTACTACTACTACTACTACTACTACTACTACTACTACTACTACTACTAATACTAATACTAATACTAATATTCATACTACTAATACTAAGAAGACGACGAATCATAATACTACGAATCAGAATAATACTACGACTAAGAAGTAGAAAAGTATGCTAACGGAGTTCCCCACATGGGCGTTTTAATAGGGCGCGGGCTTAGTCAGGAGGAAGAGGAAGAGGCGGAGATGCGGGGGGAGGGGTCGACGAGGATGGCCGGGTGACGGGGGCGACGAAGACTGCAATTGGCGATGGCGATGTGCAGGCAAATGTTTTGGGGAACACCTCGCGTACACGACGCGGCCAAGATAGTGCAAATCGTTTTTTCGAATACTGTCCTCGCTCTGGCGGGACCTCCCTGCAGGGTTGGGAGGGGCACGGAACCTGACAAATAGTATGGTATTCGTATACCCTCCCTGGAGGGGTGGCAGGGGCCCTTCCTCGCTCAGGCGGGGCCTCCCTGGAGGGGTGGGAGGGGCACGAAACCTGATCAATAATATGGTTCGCGAATACCCTCCTCGCTCTGGTGGAGCCTCCCTGGAGAGGTGGGAGGGGCGCGAAACCTTATAAATAATATGGTTCGCGAATACTGTCCTCGCTCTGGCGGGGCCTCCCTGGAGGGGTGGGAGGGGCACGAAACTTGATAAATACTATGGTTTGCGAATACTGTCCTCGCTCAGGCGGGGCCTCCCTGGAGCGGTGGGAGGGGCACGAAACCTGATAAATATTATGGTTTGCGAATACTGTCCTCGCTCTGGCGGGGCCTCCCTGGAGCGGTGGGAGGGGCACGAAACCTTATAAATAGTATGGTTTGCGAATACTGTCCTCGCTCTGGCGGGGCCTCCCTGGAGCGGCGGGAGGGGCACGAAACCTGATAAATAATATGGTTTGCGAATACTGTCCTCGCTCTGGCGGGGCCTCCCTGGAGCGCTGGGAGGGGCACGAAACCTGATAAATAATATGGTTTGCGAATACTGTCCTCGCTCTGGCGGGGCCTCCCTGGAGGGGTGGGAGGGGCACGAAACCTGATAAATAATATGGTTCGCGAATACTGTCCTCGCTCTGGCGGGGCCTCCCTGGAGCGGTGGGAGGAATACGAAACCTGATAAATAACATGGTTCGCGAATACTGTCCTCGCTCTGGCGGGGCCTCCCTGGAGCGCTGGGAGGGGCACGAAACCTGATAAATAATGTAGTTTGCGAATACTGTCCTCGCTCTGGCGGGGCCTCCC